AGCGTACTTTCGTGGTGAACGCATCCAGTCAGTCTTGTCCTCTCGTACTCACCGGTCGTTGCTTGTGCTATCTGATCCTAAGGCCAGTCCTATATCTCACCGCGGTATCGGTAGCGGTGGCGGTGACGGGGCGATTTGACCACATCGCCGACATCCGGCCTACGTATACTACGTAGCTGTAGAGTCCAGCAAAAGTAAAGACACGGTTGGGGGAGCCGGCGGAGCTCCCAGGAAGTTTGGCCTAGTGTATTTGCAGGTAAATAGCAAAGCGAATAACTATTGTAGTCTACATGGTCCTAGTTGCCTTGGCCCCAATGGTTGGACGCGAGCCATGTCAACACAGGACTCGTAACGGTGTGTCTTGTCATCTTGAGTGTCGATATGCCGTATACAGCATTGTCGATACTCTGGATACTGTTCAGGATTTGATTCCCCAACTACAACATGTAGGTGGAGCTGGCTGGCTAAGTACATGAATGCGTAGCCTGCACTACAGTAGTAGACAATATCGTGTAAAACTGTGAGTGCCACATAATGGCCCCGCGGAACGAGACGGTGTCAAAATATGAAAAGGGGTGCCTCGTGCCGCTAATGAGTGCTGTAATTGGCCCGGCAGTGCTTCCCGCGAGATATAAGCTGGCCCTAAAATTGGGGTTGATTTGTTTTCTCAGTCAGTTCACCCATCCAATCTGGATCGAGGAATTTCCATAATTCAGTACTAGTGTACTGAATAATCTAAATTATTTAATAAATTCGTGACGTGGAGTAAATAACAGTACGATTGTACTAAGTTCACACTAATTATAAATCAGTAGCAACCAAAAGTTCCCATTCGTGTTAGCATCAATGTAGGTGTATACAAGCATTCTATTGCTTCTTGGACAACTCAAGTGTTAATATTTTGACGCCCAACTTGAGTTACTCCTCAGTTTGTAGCACTATGCACTTCCTGAATCGCGGATATGCCACCTCCATGCCCATAATTGATGAACAGATTTGTACTACTTCTGCTAAGGTAAAAAGCACTTAAATAAAAAAAAAATCGGGAGAACTCCGCCGCGGTTCTTTTCGGGATTCAAGTTCGCTGTGGTCTATCACAAACTAACCTGGACATCTACTAAAAAATACCGTGGAAGCTCAAAGTTGATTTTGAGTTTGAAACCATCGAGTTGGTGTGGCTGTACCAATCAACACGAGGCAGACGAAGCAAAAAGCAACAGACGGTCTCTTCGTTAGTAACTGGAATACTTGCTCAGCAGCAAAAAAATAGTAGCCAGTTGAATATCACAAGTAGTGGCACAAACGCAAGTTATTATTCCCTCTCACCCCTCAGCTGTAAAAAGGAAAACAATAAGGTCAAATATTCCTATTCTAGGGTGCTTAAAATGGAAGTAGTCATACTTCCGCAGGGGCACTCTTTCTACCAAATCCGGTGAACCGACGAAGCCACCCATTTCACCACTTTAGAGAAAACTTGACGTTTAAAATCTTGAAGAAACGCTCTGCTTACCCTAAGCGTTCCACCGGTGACGGCAACATCCTTCTCTTCACACAGGAGACCCAACTAGCAAGGGTCTGATCGAGTTCAAGATGGCGCACCTCGTATAGTGATTCTAAGGTCAACTGCAAGACCCCAAGTGTCTCTAGCGCCATTTTTGTGCTCCACGAGCTTCGAATCATCGTTTGTTATGGAACCAGAGGGAGATCATAGATTCTGTGAGGCCACAGAGGTAGCCGTTTTTACTTTAAGTATTTGGAACAGAGTAGGGTGCTGAGCGTGTAGTTGGCATATTTGTAGTCACTGACCCTTTTGAGTATGAAAAAACAAAAGCGGCTCGCTGTGGGTTGAACTTCCGATCGAGGCGCTGATTCCGCGAACACGGCATGCACGGCACACCATCAGCAAGCCATCCCAAACAGTAAGTATCCACCACGACGAACTCCTGCTATTAAGTCGTCGTCGTGTCCATCTCCGAAGAGTGGAAGGACCTCGTTATGTTTGCGTGAACGTACCATGACACGTTGAGGACAGTAATAACCAGCATAATGGTGATGATAAACTGGATGCCTTCGTACGCGTCGAGCGTCTAGATGACTTGAGCTCTTGGGTCCGAATCCCGAAGTGATTAAAAGACCTAGTGCAAAGTATTGCTTGGCTATTGTAGTTAACCCACCATTTTGTTTAACGTAGATGCCTTTGTTTAACCCTTTCGCGAGCCTCTTGCCTAAAGTATGCTTCATATATTCTATACAATGTAATATTGTTTACGATCGGAAGAGCACGTGACTAATCAACGTGACTAGTCAATTCTCGAAGTGATAGCTTCCATGCTTGTCGTCCTGATCTAATTTGGTAAGAATATTTGGTCACATATCCTATGGGTCGTAAATACACGCAAATGTTTGGTCACATATCCTATGGGTCGTAAACACACGAAAATGTTTGGTCACATATCCTATGGGTCGTAAACACACGCAAAAAGGGCAAGATTAAAAAATACTATTTTAACTATCAAAGTACATTTAATGTGCATCACTGAAGAGTTACACCGCTAATGTTCAACAGAAAATCGTAGTACCTCTACGGCATTTTCCAGTTTTAAGGTATTCTTCTTAACACAAATAACATCTGTTATGGTCTTTGGATTTCTCAAACAGAACTAATTCAGCTTGAAAATCGTACCATAACCACAGGGCTACCCTAAATTCGACTTCGCTTTTGCCAAGCAACTCATAAACTCACTTTGAGTTAAAAATAGTAAGAAAAAAAACTCGGATAGAGATAAGTTGTGTTCGAGATCGAATCCGATCGGAGGCGAGCATGGAATGCAATATCTCTTCCTGTACAATTGTACTGCATGTGTATTTCCCATAATAATTCCAGTAATTGGATCCATGCTTCCAAGATAACATCTGCGATTTTTTTCAAAGAATCGCTCGTCGTTTGATTACGAGAAACATATAGATACCCCAACAGACTACAACGTTGGTAGGCATCATACTTCTTCTACTCTCACTTCGCAATTTTCTTTCTCGCCCGCAACCTCCTAACCAATCAGCATTTTCATGCGTCTATCTATCGTCTTTGCGGTGGTCGCGGCAACCTTCCTCGCGACCAGTGATGTTACCGTGGCAAACCAACGATTTTTGAGGACCAACCACGCCCACCGTACGACTGCTGCCGACTTCGAAGAAAGAACCATCCCCAAGAGTGACCTGAAAGCGTTGTTTCGCCGTTTTGACCTCGACTGGAAATTATACAAGACCAATCCAGCATCTGTCCTACAAGGTATGAGTGCCACAAAATATCAGGAGTACCAGCAAGCATTCAACGCACTGCAGAAGCTGCACAAAGCGAAAGGATATGGTCGTATCAAAGCAGCCGGTAGTTAAACAGTGTGAGAGTGTCAAGTCCA